CTGGATGGTTCCTCGAAGCAAACACAGATGCCTATGCAGGGTGACGCCACCCGAATAAAGACTCCTCTCACAAAATTTCCGTATTTTCGGAACTTTAATTATATTTAGACGTTGAAAATAAGATACGTCTTAATGTATATACAGAAATCAATCTCTTAGGAGAAATAGATATTTCTTTAACACGTTGAGTGCTACGTCAGTCCCTAGGGACTGACAGTAGACTTTTCGTTTGGACGGTGTGGATTCTAGGGACTGACAGCGAATTTTTCGTTTCATCATTATCGGTGCGTAAGACTGGCATTGTCAAGGGTTAAATTATCAATGACAATTAATATATCGTAAAAATTTAATTCCCTCTGCTAAAGTAAATCTTTACACTTGCGTGGCTTTTTTCGACTGATCGTTTCTTGGTGATCGCCTTTTTGCCTTTCTGGCATTCCCCACCCCATTATCTTCTGTTTATAATTTGTATATTTGTGCATTGGCTGTACCATTCTCGCAGTCCAAACGACAAAGTGAAACAAAGTGATCTTCTGCTCGTACCCTTCGGTATACTTGAGCGCTCGGCATCGAGTGCTCGCTAGCTGCCGTCTGAGCGGAAAGTATAGCAAAATCGGTGCCGCACTCAACGTGTTAAACTATGTGCCGAAGTGGTCCGGAAATGGATGAAGTATTTATTTCACGCGTTGGATAAGAATTAGGGGACTAGGACGAGCTGCAATTGCATACCCTTTTTCTTCACTCTAGTTTTGACTCCCCATACAAACAGTCAGAATACATTTGATGTACCTTGCTTAGGATAAAATAAGGATAATTATAGAATAAAGATAGTTATTTATTTTTATCCATGTTCTCTTCCTTCGACCCAAGGATGACGCGCCTCGACTTGTCGCTTGCCACGGTCACCGACCATAATCGGAAGGATCATTGTCATTAATCGAGCGATACCGAGCAGCAGCCAATCGGGACAGTTGGATCGGTGGTCTCGGGTCATGTCGGCTCGCCACGTCGCCAGAAATGCGTTCATCCATCCAGCAAAGGCGAGGCGATCGCTTGGAAATTGAAGCCGCAGAGGCAGGCCTGGGTTGGCTCACTGGAAACCGTGCACCCGAGATTGGCTTCGCGGAAACGCGATCTCGCAGACGAGCCCACGCCTGTTAACAGTCTAATTAAGATAGCAACCTGCTACTAGCGATAACGACTCCCGCGAACCTGGAACCTGCGAGAGCTGCAAACCATTTCGACGGATGAAACGGTACATCCACGGCGAGACTTGAAAACTCCAGAAACCCGTAGACAGTTTCTAATACAGTTTACTGTATTCGAGTTTCATTAGCAGCCAGGTTGGGTTAGGTTTGAATCATCAGAGATCGTATTCCTCGCTCAGCGACGTCGATGGTCTGGGGTTGAAGGTGATTTTGGATCGTAGCAGGATCTCCTTCCTTCTTTTCGATTCGCGTTTCTTTAATTCTTTGGGGCACCGTGGGATTAAAAATATCCCACCTTTTCGGTGCACCGTGTTATGGTAAAATTCAATAGCGAAGTAAACTCTACATTCCAGCGGTGTAGGGGTGATCCCTTCCCCTGTGTTCTGTCTTTTGTCACCAGTCTTCTGAAGATGACTTTTGACCTGCGTGGCCCTAAACAGGCCAGTTCTAACTATTCGCCCGTTCAATAAAGATCTATACAGTTTTTCCACAGTTTTCCTTTGCATTATAACCCCTTTAACACACCGTAATGCATCGTGGGACATTTTTAGTGCCACCTCGGAATATTGCAATAGTTGCATGCCCATAGGTTTGTGGCGACTAAGATTCCGCCACTACGCCCATGCAAAAGGAGCAGGGACATTAGGGTCGAGTGTGCACCGGGTACGTCCCTGCAACATACCAGAAGTCGCTGCAGGTCAACAGGCATTGTCCCGCGGATGGCATTGGCTATCGTCAATGTCATGCCGGGGATTAGCCGGGGACCGGGCAGCGATGTTGCAGACCAACGGTCGTCTTAATTTACGACCTCCCTGGGCGGTCATCGCGACTTTCCCGCGTAAACCTTTCCCGTGAAAACTTAGCTTTTCCCGCGCGCGGGTTGGCGGTCTTTTTTCTACCCCTTCCGCGAACACTCGACCGTTTTAAAAGCTCCCAAGTCAGAGGACCACAGGACAGTTTGAAACCTTCTACGGCGCCGTGATTATGGTCCCGACGGCCGCGACGAGCGCCGACATACTTATTGCGACCCACTTCAGGTTTATAGTTGGTAATTAATAATAACATTCATAGTTGGTAATCATGTTGGAACCCGGATTTCTATATACAATACGGGTTCTAGCGACAAGGCTACGTTGGAAAAGTACAAGTCGGCGGAGAGGAAAAAAATGAAACTGAAACTGGACCGAAACTGACCTTTCGCAAATTTTATGGGTGCTTATATAATGTTTTTGGTGGGGTGAAGATGACCATTGGCCCTTAGTGGAAGTAGGAATGAGTCGATTGTTTTTGAACTCTGAAATTGGTCTGCGTTTATCAGCCAGGCTCTTCTAATGACTAAGGGCCAACGAATCGTTATTCATCCAACAATTATTGGAATTATGTATGTGAAAGCAGGAAACAATCTTGAGGTATCGCGATTGAATATATTTCGATTCACAGTTGAGCCGTTCACTGCACAAATTGATTAACTCCATAAAACGAAAAGTGGAGAAATGCAATGAGATAATGTATATTGTTTTTTAAAATTCCCTTTATAATTCAAATCGAAATAAATATCGCAGAATGCGTAAATACAAATGTAACTTTCATCTAACGGTGTATAAAATTTATAAGAAAAAATAGCCAAAAGGTAATCGTTAGTAATGTTACCATTTTTATGTTACTGGGAAGAGTTAATCGATTTGGCAAGTGAACAAAGTAAGAAATTTAAATTTGATTAAATTTTACTGAAATTTTGATAAGACGGCACTAAGAAATTCACCGTTGTCATTCTTGGCTTGCTAGTGCATTCGAGTTGCATTATTGCAACGATTTATATTAGAGTACGGAGTTAATCAAAGTGACCTCTGAAATAAATTATTTATTATTCAGTGGCCAAAATATTTATGTCGTTTAATGGTGTTAATCTTAATTATCAGGGAAGGTTATTATAAATATAAAAAGTTACGACTATACCAAGTGCTTTGACGCTTAAATTTAAAATTTTCCAAAAAGTGGAGTTGATCGATTTGTGCAGTGAACGACTCGATTAAATATATAAAAATTACAATAGATGTCGCAATTATATTATTGTTCCAACAATAATACCTTCAACAAATGTTATAAATGTAAATGCAAGTGGAAGAAAGTTTATTGCGACAATCCTTTTTCACAATCGTCTTTTCCATTATGTGATTCCTTTATTAGTAAAAATATACCAATTTTGTTTCTTTTAAAACGCGATAAAATTTCTAATTTCAACAAGGGTCTATTTTATTATCCGAAATTCTGTGCCGCAAAGAGTGAAGAAACATCTCTCAACGCTATAATTTCCTGCAGCATAGGGAATTGGAACTGAATTTTCTACAGCAGTGGCGAGCAACCCTTCCAAATGTTGACACTTGATTCGCCTGACGTGTGAAAACAGAGGTTCCTCGTCACTGTTCCGATCCATTGCAATTTCGATTTCGACATCGATCCTGGTTAGTTTGTCATGCACGGTAGTTTCGTCGTTGAATATCTGGTTATTCGTATAACGAAGCACCGGGGAACGTTATTATCGGTTTCTCGGAACGAACTACCCCTAGTCCTTCCTTTTCACCTGGCAAGTCGGGGCTCTCGAACGCGAAACTCTCAGCGTAACGACGTTTTCCAGGGTGAAAAGCGCGGATAAAAAGGAGACCACGAGGAGGGTGCAGCGGATCCCCCTTTGGCATAGTGGAGACGGGCGTTTAGCGTGGAATCGCTTCTAATCGCGCGTGGTGTTGTTGCAGGTGGTCAGATCTCTGGCCATTTGCATGAGATTTCGCGGTGTATCCTAGGGTATCACGAAAGGGACTTTTATTCGGTTGATAAATGCGGCTGGGTAGGTGTCGTTGGAGAGAACAGGGGTGGAAAAGTGGAAGTTAATTGGGTCTGCGTGGAGGATCCGAGAATACGTCGTTCCGAGGGTGTAGAGGGATTCGTGTTTGCGGATGATGCCAGGCAGAAGTATACTTGTGGTACGAATGAAAGATCGGGATACGGGAGAGGGAAGAATAAAAATATTTTAAATCTCAGGGGAATCACCGAGCCGAGTATTCCCAATAATTTTTATTTTTTCCATATTCTCAAAATTTAGTATTTCAATTTAACCCTTTGCACTCGACGACTTTTGGCTAGAGAAGAGTAGGAATTCAAAGATTCTTTACTAAAAAGCTGAGGATACTTTTTCGAGCAATAAATAAAGAATTGTAGAATTATTTGATTTCAATACCTCGCACACTGTTACACTGCATTAAATTTGATATATTAATTAATATCGATCTTCCAAATTTTATGAAATGGTGACTGAAGCTCACCTCTCGAGTGCAAGGGGTTAGCACATATGGAAAGAGAAGACACTAATTTCATTCACAGATACAATTCTCCCCATACCAACAACGCAGCTAACGTTATAACGATTACAAAATATTTTTAAAGTAATCAAATATTCGTTTCAATAAATCAGTGGAAATTGTACACTCGATTATAAATTATCCACGCGTTTGTGGATAATCCTCCACCAACTAATTATCCTGATTACTATTTGCCTAAATAGGTAAGAAGATTGCCATAGGATTCTCAACTCGAGTGACAACTTCAACACTAAAACGAAATAAAAAGAAAAATCCTTGTTTGATATAAAATTAATTTACAACGCGACAAATACACTACGCTCGTGTAAATAGAAAAATCTCGATTCACCGAACGGAATCTGCACGATCCATACCAAAATCCAATTCCCTAAACGCCCTACGATAAACCTCGATGTTTCTTTTTGCAGGAGGAGGCAGAAAAGAGGCGGCAGCGAAGCGGCGACCGGGAAGCTGCGAAATTCAAAGCGTCTGGGACCCAGCGTGTCTGCAAAGCGCATTCGCCGGATCCATCGGCAATTTTTCACGCGATTCGGATCCGCGAGGGAAGCCAGCAGCCCTGGCCGTGGAGTCGGAGGCGGACCGCGCGAGCCGGTGCTCACAAAGGCGCGTCCTCGCGAGGAAATTTATCGCGACGGGACGACGTTTCCCGTGAAAAGCGTCGAAGAAAGAGGACAGAGACGAGAAAGGGGACAGGGAGCGTCGGGGTGCACGGAGGACGCGGCAATCTCGTGAATAGACGCGCCTTCCAGAAGCGTCGCGAATCAATTCCCGGATTGACTCTGCACCAGGTTGCCGCGCCGATTTTTCAGCTTTCTCCAGCCGGAAAACTCGCACGTCTCGTATCAGCGGCATATCTGCACGGTTACTGAATGGGAAAATGGACGGACAGGAATGCAATATACGCGGCTGGTACGTAGTAGCATCGAGCCTCGACTCGCGATCGCTCGATGTCGGGTAATAAAGACGGTATCGATATTCCAGGAATTTCTTTCCGTTTTATATTTCTCTCTTTCCAACGCCGCGCGTGAACTAACTTCGACTTGACACGGTCACTGTCGGATCAATTCTAGGGGTCGAGCTAGAGCCTTGGTCCTGAGCCTTGGTCTCCGAGTATCCCTTTTTAACGCTAGGTTTACGGGCGCTATCCGTGTACCTATTTCTAAGGACATCTGTCAAATTGACAGGTAGAGGAAATCACGTGCCTTTATTTTAACGATTAGTTCAATTTAAAATCAATTATGTATTATATTAACACATTCGCGACTGCTGACGTGAATTCACGTCACTTTAAATTCTATTCCTGACTGCCGCTGACGCGAATTCACGTCAATAAAACAAATTTTATTATTTTTATCCTCGCTTTAACGATACAAGTTTGCGGCAACCAGTTCCAGAATTTCATTATTTTCGCCGGTACTCGGTATTAGAAACGGAAAAAATTTGCCGGCCACGAATGTGTTAACAGTCTTAACCCTTTGACTACAGCAGACTTTGAAACGCACCGGTCGTACCACACGGGTAGGAATTCATTTACAATGTCCGCCGAGAACATTTTTATCCTCGCTTTAACGATACAAGTTTGCGGCAACCAGTTTCAGAATTTCATTATTTTCGCCGGTACTCGGTATTAGAAACGGAAAAAATTTGCCGGCCGCGAATGTGTTAACAGTCTTAACCCTTTGACTACAGCAGACTTTGAAACGCACCCGTCGTACCACACGGGTAGGAATTCATTTACAATGTCCGCCGAGAACAGGTCAGGAAAGGAAACTGTGTTGAGCGCTTATATGCGCCTTCCGTGTCACGAAAGCAAAATTTCTGAGCGCGTATATGCGCGCACAGTAGCCAAGGGGTTAATATAAGTCAATTAAATCTGTTACTATCGTATAATTGGAGCAACCCTTCCCTTAAATTGACGGCTTCGATAAATCTAGGGTTAACAGCACGAAACTAGATTAATTGGAAAATTAATTTTATGGGACAATATGGCGATATAGATGCCGATAAATTTTCCATCGATTTTATATATACCCAAAATTATTTTACTCGTAGTCGTACGAATTTCAATCATAGGATATCACAGATCGATGAGACCACGCTGATCACGGATGACCCCCGGGGTGAGCCGATCGAACGCGTTTAGGGGACGTTTAAGATCGTATTTCGCGAGTTGGCGAGGGTGATGGAGGATCGGCGATCGGTCGGGAGCTGGTTTTTCGATGGACGATCGCTCGCCGGTCGTATTAACGTCGAGACGAAGGCCCGACACACGATTGGGCGCAACAAATGAACGCGACAAAGGGAATCGAACGGCAGAACGATCGGGGCAAATTGGTTTGACAACAATGTGATTTATTGCCGCGACCGGCCGTTACGAGGGATGATTGATATTGTATCCGCTTTTTGAGCGCGGATCGCAGTACGTACGATGATTAAAGCGATTGATGGGTTACGCGGCACGCGAATCAGCAAGAGGGGCGTCGAGTATTTTGCACGAAATTTGGTAAAAGGAATGTACAGTGGCTCGCGAAAGTATTCCAATGCTATACGTATTGCAAAAATTCGGATTTCGATGGAAGCATGTATAAATTGTTAATTAAAGTTTTCTTAATCGTAGATATCACTTAGCGTGTGTAAGATAGAGAAATTGACAGGGGTTGTTTTTGACATCCACTCTTCGATTCTGTCTTCGATAGTTTCCTATTTTATCCGAATAAATAATAGGAATTTTGTCTAAAAAAGTTAGAAACGACGTCGATAACGACGCTAAACTTCGTTTTCAAAGAACCGTGACGAATTAACTCGTCGCGCACGATGCAGGAACATTTTCCAACTCATCGTCCCCGGTTAGCGCGTTGAGCGCATTATTATCAATTACTGTCATGATTGCCACTCGGATAGGTCGCTCCATTTATTTCCACCTCGCGTTCGACTGAAAGTTCAGATATCGTTTGAAATCGTCGATGACGCGAAACGTAGCGAACTTTCCACCCTCGTTGCCCCTTCACGGGGGTGTGATTTAATATCCCTTGCTTATGCAACGTTCCTCTTCGCGTGGTTCGGCCAATGATCCGGCAGGAAGGGCGCGCCCATTAGCGGCGGCTTCGACGTCGTTAAAAAATAACGGAAAAAAGAAGAAAAAAAGGGGAGAAACGGGGAAAAAGGGGGAAAAATTGCGAGGTGTAGTTGGAAAGTGGCGTGACGTTTTTCCACGGGACAAATGGTCGGTCATGCGAGCTGTGTGCACGGAAACTTGTCGCGCCTCGCGCGAATCCAGAGGCGAAAAATCCCGTGAAAGGCTCTTTGATGGCGTCGCGAACGGGACAGAGCAAGAGGATCTCTCCTGTGGAATCAATTCGTAGATCGGCACTCGCTTTCATTTCTATCGTTCTCCGGCTTCACCCTGCTCCTGGCCGCTGCCAGGATCGTATTCCTCGGTTCGAGGCTCTTGCTCCTTTGAGCGAGGCTGAACGCTCGATCGAGCTGGTAAATCGTTTTCGTAAGCTGGCTCGATTAAGCTCCGAGCGTTCCGATTCAGCTGATGGAGCTTTAAATCCCTGTACGAGGATTTATCTCGAGGATTTGATTAATCGAGTGTTACGCAGCAGCTCGAATCGGTTCTTTTATTTGATCTCTCGTCGACGGTCAACTTTTCGTTCTTTATTTATCGCGAAAGATCTAGGTGTTGCTAGGGACCTAGATATCTGACAGAGAATTGAAAAATACAAGGTTGACGTATTTCTTGTCACCAGAATCGTCAATCTACAGAGATTAAACTGACATCTCTGGTGGCAGCGACTCTACGCCAATGAGGGTAACAATTAGCGATGGACGACGATGGAACGTTACTCAGGTGTATTTAAATCTAACGTAGACAGCCAGGATTTAAATATGTGCGTGTGTAGGATCATACTCGTGCACCCAGGGTAAACTCCGCCATCTCGAAGCTCCCGGGTTAGGAAAACAAGTGGTCCTCGACTCTCCTACTCTCCTATCGAGATGAACAGAAGCTCCTATGCATGTACTATGATCATAGTACCACAGAATCGTAGATTTGTTCCTAGAATCTTCGCGAAGCATCCAAATACCAACCACCTACCACTACTAGCCACCGCACGCACCCCTCCGCTCTGTCCGCAACACTTTCCAAGGACAGAGACCGCCTGTCGTTCACCCTCACCTAAACACGGCCCTGGGAACACGTAACCCAGCGAAGTACAACAGCGGTTTCGCACGTGGACTCGCAAAACGCAATCGCACCCCTGCGTGGTGGTTTACGGGGCTTCAGAGAGTTCAAGAGTGCACCCTTTGGCGTCGCGGAGGAAGAACTGCATTCATCCAGGGGGTGTGGCGGGAGGAGAGAGGGTATCGTGCTGCGTATCAGGAGGATCAAGCCTCCTTCCCCTCTCTCCTCTCGCTTCTCACCCTTTCGAAGGCCGGTTTCAACGTCGACCTCCCTCCTCCCACCATCCCTTCCTTTCTCCACCTCCCTCTTCTTCACTCTCTCTCTCCCTCTTTCTCTCTCTCTCTTTTTCTCTTTCTCCCTCTCAGACCCTTTTTGCTGTCAGGGACAGGACGTTGACCTGACCTGGTGAAACACATACGGAGGTCCTTACACGGACTCTGAACCGCGCGGAACGCGGTGCACGCTCGAGAGAATGCACGATGCAATCCCGAGGAGAGGGATTTTTACATGAAGTTCCGGGGGCGAGGGAGAGCGAAACGGGACGACACGGTGGTAATGGTTGGCTGGTAATGGTGGTGGTTGCTGGTGGTGTCGCGTTACGTCGGTGCTCCGGTGTCGTCGAAGCTGCTGAAACGCCGCGGCTGGAAACCAGGCAGCCGTGAGGAGAGGATCAGCGGACGAGGAGTCAAGATTCCCGTTGCCGCAGCCTCTCTCCTTTCTTCCCCCGTCATCTTGCTCCCTCTAACCCCGTAATCTCGCGGCCTCTTGCTCGCGCGATCGCGGCTTTTACGCCTTTCAAACAGCCGGTTTATTTGCACCGCGCCGGGTGCAGGCCGAGGCTATGCAAATTGTACGAGCTCCACTCTCTCTCTTTCTCTCTCTAACCGCGGCTTGGCCGAGCCTCGGCGTCCTTTGAACCTTATCGAGGCGACCGGACCCAGTCGAGATTCTGAATTATTCAGGGGTCGCCCCGTGGAACGATTCGTCTTCGGGGGTTGCAAGCCAGCGTGCTTCTTTCGACAGAGTGCTTTACACCAACGTCTCTCTCCCCGATTCTTGCGTTCTCGCACTCTTATCTCACAGATTTCTCGCGATGTAGGTTATTCCTTCTAATTTTCGTTTACCGATCTCTTCTTCATTCGCTTTGACACGATGAAAATTATTTTTCACGACCCTTCTTTGTATTCGACTGGGTCCAAACATCAACTGGACTCGTCTGCGTTCTACTATTTCTTGCGATTTTTATTGACCCCTTAATTCCACTTTGAAATAGGACGCCTCTCAATTCTTCGACGCTAGGATATCTGTTCGAGAAATTGATGACTATTAAACAGTCCTAGCTATAATGCCCCTCGATTCCGTAATTTCCACGAAGGGATTGGTCGATCGCGTTCGAAGTCTGCTCGATCCGCAACCGCTCCCTGCGATCTCGAGCCTCGACATCAATTATCCCGATGGCTCGCGGGCCGCGTTTTTGATCGGCGGATCAGTGGCGACCGATCGAGCCGGATGAAAGGGATGGAGTTGCAAGGGGCTGGAATTCCGCGTCGCTACGCGTTATCGGTTGAAATCGTATCGGTCGGAATGGAGAATTTCGCAACGCGTCAACGACGCTGCGTGCCACGCGCATTCGGGTGCATTGATCCGGTCAATGCAGGGCGGTGAATGCGTTAAGTGCAGTCTTATATGGGAAAAGCGGGCAAGGGTGCACCGTGTGGCCGGAATGGCGTGCACGCGGTGGAGAAAGGGGTTGCGCGGACCTGGCAAGCCGGAGAGAGACGGGAGGAATCTTCGGCTGAGGCCGAGAGGGAGGGAGAGAGAAAGTACACCGACTGCGAGCAGGAGAGAGATCAGAGACCACGGAGGGGGGCGGCGTACACCGTACTTTATGAATGCACCACCATTCACCCCGCTTATTACTTCCTATACAGGCTGATCCTCGTCACCGGTTCGGGGATACAGATGTTTTCTATGTGGTGACAGGGAAATTGTTTTTTTTCGGTCGAGGGTGTCGCGTGATGGAGGTTTAGGGTGCCGGGGTTTTATTTTTTGTCGGCTCGAAAGCACCGGATCGCGGGACGAGTCGTAAACAGATATTTTTCCTTGCCTCTTTGCGGCTGAAATCGAGGCAGTCGGTATTTCCTGCTTTCCTGATCCAATTACAAGTTTCTAGTTTCTATTTCTGCTCTAATTTATGGCGAGTGCAGAGAATTAGCTATCGTACCTTGACTGAAGGAACGATATTTAAAATTTCGCTGGACCTCGTACATTTTTTATTTAGTCCCACTTATAGTATGATTATGGAATTTCTTTTTAATTCTAACTAATTTCGTATTAATTCTATTATGGGGTTTTACACTTTTTGTCCTGGGTGTTTGTTAGGGTGCTTATTATTACGTGAACATTTTTCGTTTCATATATCTTTCACCTTCTTCAGGTGTTGTGTGAGTTGTTGAAAGTCTGTAATTCTTTTATAAAAATGTTTCATCATGATCCTTCATATTTCACTCTGACATGGTTAGTTGCGGTGTTTTTCCAATCCAATCCAGTACTGTCGTGTGCAATTTTCTATTTCCTGATCAATAGAGTTCAGCTGTAATTCTCTACATGTTCTCAACACAGACATACCGATTATGGAACTAATAATTGCATTAAGACTAAACGAACTATGCACCTCGTACCTAATATCGAAATTCTTCCCTTGAAGGAAGAAAAGAATACTTTTAACCCTCAGAACCTTCGACTGCCTCGAGAGGTCCTACCTCAAACATCCACGGTCTCTCCTCTTCTTTCCCACGAGAACTCAGACCTGTCCCACTCTCGAGAATCAGCCTGTACGCCTGCTCTTTACATCGGCAAGTATGGCCCACGACCACAGACTCGCGCGCGTCGTAATAAGGACGGAAATACGTCGTCACCACGCGTGTATCGATAAACATTCCACGTATGGAAATAACACACGTGCAACCCCTTTGACGCGTTGCGGTCGCGAACCCGTAAACACGTTCTTACTTCCTGATCCCGGTGCGTCCGCCTTGCGGCTCCGCGCAGCACCGTTTCGCTCTTCATCAATGGCTACCCTCCTCGAGTGTTTTCGTTATTCGAAATCGCTGGCTGGAAGACGCAGAGGTTGTTAGCCCCTTGAGTAGCCGGCCACTCTTTACCTGTGCTTCGTTTCGTTATTGTACACCTAGTGCCCGCTTCCGACGTTACTGTTGTGTAGTACCCCGGGACCAGGTGCTTGACCCGCAAGCGGGACTCGAGGTTTCAGACGTTCGGGAATTAGCCTGTGTACTAATCGAACTAACGCAACGTCAAACGTGATTCTATCTCGCACACCCCGGGTCGCAGGTGCTTCGATCTTGGACGGTACTCGATTTTTCTCACCGACCTCTTTCATCCCTCGCTCCCAGCGACGGTATTCCCAGGCTGTCGGAGAAGGTGGAAATTTCGCCAGTTCTCTATGAAGTCGAGTGTCGGATGAAGGATCGAAACGTATGAAATATTCCAGGCAGCCCCGGAATTTCACGTCGCACGAAGCTACCACGGCTCGCGTGCGAAATCGTTGCTCCGGTATTTCTTCGCTCGTCTAATCGTCTGACAGAACGATGAATATTTCAAGCGATCATCCCCCAGACCCGACGAGACGTTGATCGCGCTCGATAAATAACCAAACGTTCCCGTCCAGGGTCAACCAACTTTGCGCGCCCCCGAAAGCACAGCCGTCCGATGCCTGTCGCATCGCGCACCCTTAAATCAGGTAACCACGGTTCGGGGGAAAAAATTACTTTAACCCCGAACAAACGTTTGCGAGCTTGCATTCGCGCGAATTCAATCATCTGGCCCGGTCGCTGCAAATCCGCGCGACCGGCGCGCAATTCCACCCCCGCGATGGCCGCCGCGATTCCATCGATCCGTCGATCCAGCGTCCGCGCGAACCCGCGAAATTCGAGGCCGGATTTTATCGACAGCTCACGGGGGTGGGAGGATCGCGGGATCGCCCATGGCGTAGGATTAACAACCGGATAATGAAGTCAGTGTTTCATGCCCTGTGAAATTGCGCTCGGTCCGCTCGCCATTCGATTCTCGCTTTGATTGCGCCATGGGCGAAAGCGCAATGCCCATAAACCGGCGCGGCGTTGAGCGCCATCGCGAGAGTGGCCTTCCACGTGAAAACCACCGCCGGCCTGTCGTCGTCGCCGGCCCCTCTCTTTCGCCGTTACGCCGGATTTTCCGAAATTTCCCTGCCCATCACGGGCCAGCTACGCGCGGCCGGAACGGCGCCAGCCGCCATTCCGCTTTACGGAATTCGGTATCACGCCGGGGTGCTCGGTGTGTTTTTTCAAAAATTCCCGCTCAACCCATTACCGCCCGCGGACTCCGCGCCGGGGGTGGCTCTGTTTTCCTGCGCCACCATCCACCGAGCTTCCCATTCTCCTCTCCCGCCATTTCCCTGCTGCCATTCCCCTTTCTATCTCCGTGGCATATTTTTCTCCGTATTTTTTATTTTTCTTCGAATTTTCCCCCGCTTTCATTTTGCAAGCGTTCGTTCGGTATTTAATACACGGGATACGGGATAAATCAGGAAGGGTGATCGGCCAGGATAACGGGAGTCTGTTGCGTAATTCTTCGCGACTAAACGTCACGCGTTCGCAGTTTTCACGGGCTTTTGTCGCCCCGGACAAAGTTTACCGAATTTTCCGAACGGCGCCAAATCCTCTTGCCGCGGATGTAAAATCGCGCGCCTCGTAAGCGCGAAGCCGACACATCCGTTAATTCAATACCCCGTTGGCCATCGATCAGCGCGCGCCGTTTGCCAATTAAAATAAGACCCGGTCGATTTTCATGTAAATTCGAGAAATCCATAATGCCGGCCGGTTTTACCCGGGCCGTTCGATAAATCGCGGCGTCGCAATCACCGTGGCTTTCAGGCCAACCCCTCGGCCAAGGGGTGTCCGTTGTCCATGGAGATGACGATGATGATGACGACGACGATGATTATCGTCATTGTGGCCCCGAGCTCGATATCTCGCTGCGACCGCGATCGTATAGCTCGATTTTCGGCCCCCCTCCCCCGCGCCCCCGCTCCTCCGCCCTCGTGGCCGAGCTGTATTTTCTGTCTTTTCATTACGGCGTAATGAAGCTGCCCGGGAGAAACGCAATTACCTGTATAAACCGACGTTTTCATTACGCGTTATTTGTCAGACGCTCGGCCACGCGATCGTTATTGCGGGATGCATCGGCGTTAGGCGAGCAACGATTTCGATACCCGCCTAATGGCAGCCCGCGATGGGGCGGGATCCGCGTGGAAATAACGAGAGGAAAGGTACTCGTTGGTCATCTATCGCGGGACAAACCCCTTTTCATCGGGTGAGTCACGGCGGACTCGATGATCTCTGCGGGGGTCGTTCGAAGCGGATGACCGTGTTCGAGAAGTTAGGTGTTCTTTGCGAATGATTGTCCATGCTGTGAAATTCGATCGCTTAATCGCTTAAATTTAACCCTTTTGCACTCGGCGACTTTTTCGTTACGGAAAAATAGCAATTCGAAGACTTTTTGGCATAAAGTCGACGATATCTTTAAAATGGTAAATGAGAAATCGTATGCAAATTAAGATACAGAATTGTTTTTTCTTCGACATTCCACACATCGTTAGGTAATTTTAAATTTGATATATCAATTAACGTCGATCTTTGGAATCTGATTAAATGGTGACTGAGAGTCACCTCTCGAATGCAAAGGGTTAATATGCTTAACACTAGATTTACGGAACCCGTGAATTTGATAGAAGGGTTGCTCCGATTATACGATGGTAACAGATTTAGTTAATTGTATTAACTAAATTATTATTATTGTTGCTGCTTCTTCTCCATTCCCGGGGTTTTCCAGCAGCTGGGCGGGACTTTGCCAGGTCCAGCTTGGCTTTTAACTTGTATTGTTGAGGAAATTTCTGGTGATGTTGCATGTATGTAGTATCGTTGCTTTCTGTATTCCATGGTGGATGTGTGTTGGTATCTTCAATTGCGTTTGGTGTTTTCTGAGTGTGTATGGTGTTATTCCTGTTGCTGATATTATTATTGGTATTGTATGTACTTCCTGTTGTTTCCATGCTCTTTTAATTTCTTGGGCCAGTGGTGTGTATTTTTCTATTTTCTCTTTGTATTTTTGTTCTACATTTGTATCATTGGGTATTGCAACGTCGATTAGGTATCTTTTCTTTTCTTTCTTTTTTATGAGTGTGATGTCTAGTCTGTTATGGTTTATTGTTTTATCAGTCTGTATTGTGTCCCAGTATATTTTGTATTCTTCGTTTTCGATCAAATTATTATTATTACTATTATGGTTATTATTATAGTTAATTATTATTATATTAAGACTGTTAATATAATATATAATTATCTTTGAATTAAAATAATCGTTGAAAACAAAAATCACGTGGTTTCCTTTACCTGTCAATTTGACAGGTGTCCTTAGAAATAGGTATACAGGTAGCGTCCGTGAACCTAGCCTTAAAAACGTGAAATGGGTAAGAAAACTCAATTTTTTCGTTTTATTTCACGAAAAGCTTATTGCCTTTATTTCCCGGTCCAATTCGAGAAGGGAAAGAAGGTTCTGGAACTTTAGGGTCTAGAACGAATATTTCTAAAATTTAGAAATATTATATTTCGCGCTGTGCGGCACATACCATAACACTCGCGTTTCTTCTAACAGTCTCGCGCGTGCCTTCGTCGCCTATACCAGGGAATATAAACAAAGACGACGACGGTCGGGAAGACGCCATGCTTCGACGAGTCAGTCGACACCGGAACGCTGAGCTCGACGTACACAACACGAGGTTCAGGTATTGTTCAGTTTCTTAATAGTGGATAATATATAAGAATATAGCGAATATTTAGTTAACGATATCAGTGGATCGCATAGATAGTTATAGATATCGTTCTCTCAACGTATTTTATTCCACTACACCTTCATTTCTTCGCTCGTTTATCCTGCATTACGTAAAATACGCTGGCTACATTTCATTCATTACGTATATACTCGTTTTTCATAATAACTTAAAGTCGCTCGCGTAAACATTCCTCGCATACTCATCATAGTCATCCTTTCATACGAACATCGCGTACTTTTGCATCGAGATATATTGAAGTCTATGTTACCCATTACCACACATTCTCGGTATCACAGTGAATAAAATATCACAGTGAATTCCAACGTGAACCACGTAGGATTGTACGGAACAAGAAATTCCGCGTTCAACGTAATTAACTTATGATACACGCGTAATCGATCTTTCAATGTCTGTCAGTATTTAATATTTTTAACCCTTTGTACTCGAGAGGTGAGTTTCAGTCACCATTACATCAAATTTGGAAGATCGATATTAATTAACGTATCAAATTTGATGTAATGTAACAGTGTGCGAGGTATCGAAATTAAATAATTCTACAATTCTGTTATTATACAATTCTTTATTTAGTGTTCAAGAAAGTATCGTCAGTTTTTTAGTAGAGAATCTTTGAATTTCTCCTCTTTTCTAGCCAAAAATTAATCGTTCAATGGGGCACCTTTTAGTTCAAAGTATATTTTAATTAGCGGTTATATCCAAATTGCACTAACTGTCAATTTTCATTCAAGATTATTTAATGTAGTTTAAGTAGTTCAAGCGCTCTGGTCACTAATGACCACCGTCGAAAAATCAAAAAATCGTCGAGTGCAAAGGGTTAATATTTTATCTCGTTTCACCGGTCGTTTAACCACGATAGATTCAGTGTTAATCACCATAGGTATTTCCCGCGTTGAAATTAGTAATATTCGAGTAAAAGTAATCTGGAACGGATGTATTTAGTAATCCAGGAAGAATTATATAAACGTAGGTAACGAAATAAATTAGTCACCGGAAAGAACTGATTTGAACGAAAATAAAGGGAGACTTCCATAAATATTTCCGAAAAGCGAGTTCCAAATTGCCCTCTGGAAACGTGGAAATACAGCCCTGGAAATATAACCGTCACTCGACCCATCGAAATTAAAGCTTCCGCTCGAAAATCCCAGATTTATGCCCATCTGGGCTCGATGATCTCGGCTAGCACAACCGATGATTCCCGCTTCGGGCACTATCTCTACCCTTTCTCTCTCTCTCTCTCTCTCTCTCTCTCTCCGGCTTTCGGACGCGTTCCAGCCAATATGGGATGATGAACTACGTGGATTGAAAGCGATCACGGGTGTTAACAGCGTTATAACATCCACGGTGATATTGCAGCGGCTACGGTTACGGTGTCCATGGTGTTTTGCGTGGCAGGAGGTCGCGTTACAGAACCCCCGTGTAACCGAGTCGATGGAAAATCGAACCGTCCGCGGCTCGAGTCCGGGGTCGTTGTCGAAATTCACTTATGCGTCGCTTTCGCGACCACGGCTTCTCCCAATTTCCAGCCCCGCTTTTCACCTACCCCCCCCCCTCGCCACCTGTTTTCCCCGTGTTTCCTTCGATCGGCGTCGCTCGTTTCATCCCCCTACGGGACGCGTGCGACTTGATCTACGGGCTTGTTTACCGGCACGGCGATATAAATCTGGGCCCGGTCGCGAAATTCCCGAGCTGCTGCTTTGGCCACGTTGCGTGAAATTGCCAAGACAACCGTGCTCTTGCGCGAATTCTTTTCCTCCTTTTCGGTAATTAATCCGGAACCACTCCGGGTACGTAAATATCCCGGCTATTGGGCTCGTGCCACATCGATCATAGGGATTTCGTGTTTGTCGCAATACACACACACGCGCAGGTGTAAAGAGTATTATCTGAAGTCTGTTTTATTGGTTTCACGTTGTATATGACAGCTCTAAGGACACCTTTGAAATTAAAATCCACTGCTACATTTACTCCTCGCGAAATTAGCAGGACTGTAGGGGGTCCTCTTCCACTGTGTTGAAGTCACAGGTATCATCGGTTGCGGCGTAGCTTGAAGGGACGGTAGGAAAAGGAAGGGATGCTTTTCATCCCGGGCCTACTAGTGGACTCATCAGTAAAGCTACCCTAGCAGGCCCTATATTAGATCAGAATACTATTAGAAGGTCAGAAAGTTATATATATGCAGGAATGTTGCGTAGACAACAGAGTAAGCAGTGATGTAAATATACAAAATGATTTATTTTAAACTATAAACCTAGTTTTTAGTTTTCTAAGCGCTAATAACTCTCGGCTGCTTCTCACTCGCTATCTCTCAAAAATTCTACGACTGACTCTTCCACGTCCTTGCACTCTGTCTTCTTTCACACTCAAGCTCTCTTTCTCAATCCTAGGTGGGTCACGTATCCTAAACACTCAGACGCATTCCTAGGCTTTCACTCTTCACTTGCATTCGGCTCTCATAAACATCCCTTACATTCGATCCTCTTGCACGTGGTCACTTTCGTTCTGAGCCCAAACACTCTTGACATTCTTTCAGAGCCGTGCCTACTCCTTTCCTACATATATAAGAATTGGAGGTTTTCCAAGGACTTGTGAGAAAATCCTCGAAAATCGGAATCCATCTAGTGGCGAGAGTGAGAATGATGGTTGCTACAGGACCAACTCGATCGAAATTTGCTGCACCCCTGGCGATAGGACATAGGCAAACATCGTCAGCTTGACGGGGTAGGAACCCGAAGCAGCCATTGCTCCCGCTCGGAGGAGCAGCTAAGAACGCCTTGCGCGGCTTTATGAAGAATTAAGCGGAATTCCGGGCCGGCCCTGGGAAAACCGCGCGCTCGTAAACCGCGAATAATTTATGATCGGGCTCTATCCGAGCTGGCTCGCGGGACGTAATTTTTCCGCGATGTCTGATGGCCATCCGGGCAGTTTAAAATCCACGGACTCGGATCATGGGATCCCGTACGACGATATCGAAAGAGGAGCATAATATGAAGCGGCAGGTTCCTGCAGCTAAACGATTTCCAAGTGGCTTCCGAGACTAGTTCTGTTTTATGACAGCTTTAGCTTTCGGGCATTCCGAATCTCGGCGTCCCTGAATCTCTAATGGCGCCGAGTACGATCCACCTTCTGCGCGAGTGCACACTAATGTTCGCGGCGTTTGAACGATTGCTCGAATTCCACGTGTTACAGGCTTTATTTCCGTTTATCCCTTTGCGTCGCAATGACGTGTCTAACTCGTCGCGAATTCTTCGTGCCAAATTTCGAGATCACAAGGTATACTAATCGCGCGATTATAGTTATATTTCACGCGTTTCAACGTTTATAGAATTCTTAGAATTCCTCAAATAAAAATTTATAAAGATTCAATCTTTATAACTTTCTCATCGTCCATGGAATAGGTATATAGTGCGTATTTAAAATTAAATATTTCTTCGGTATATCATTTTTCGTAATTAAAGCGCAGTGCAAGGGGTTGATTGAATGCATGGTTGATTACTGGCTTATCTTGGCTTCGAAGCGTTATAATTTCGTCAAATCAACGCTGTTTTTGATGAAATTTTACTCGGTTATTTATTCACGTGTCTGGTATTTCTTAGGGGTGCGATATTTCGTGAAACGTTCTCTCGTTTCGCTCGAGCTCTCCTCTTTCACGCCTTGGAAACACTTCGCTCGCCAATCCCAAACGCTCTTCACGTTCTCTCAAAACCGTTCCTATTTCGTTACATTTCCACAGCAGGTTCAATAGACAGATAGTACTACAACTAATGGTAGCAAGAAAAGAGTCCATTGTGCATAAAAATTCAAGCAGGAACGAAATCTACGTGACCCATTCGTAAAGTGTCTTCGATATTTTAACTGTAAATTTCCAAAATTGGTAGTGAAATTTTAACAATCGATCTACATATACAATCTTTGAATACGTAAATCGTTAATATGTATATCAATAAAATAAAGTCACTTCTGAAAATTCCCCGTTTAAACCGAAAATAAGAAAGCAAGAACGTAAATCTACGTGACCCATCCGTAAAGTGTCTTCGATATTCTGATAATAAATTTCCAAAATTGATATTGAAATTTTAACAATACAATCTTTGAATACGTAAATCGTATATCAATAAAATATCAAAGACACTTTTGAAAAATCCCCGTTTGAGCTCGAAATAAAATAAAATAAATAGAAATTGGATGAAAAATACCCCTTCTATTCTGACAATTTTACAGTGACTTAACCGATCATTCTTCGTCATCGTGGACAATCGTTCGGCGCGTTTCCATCGAACGAAATCGCCGCGCAGGGGTTGCGTTGCACCCCCTTTGATCGTTCCTCCGGGTGGCGCGCGCGCGCGTGTACGTACGAGCAATAATGCAGCGATACAGTCAGTGTTTAGTAGTCGTATTATCGTGATCCGTGTTTGACCACGGTTCGCAGCCGCGGCTGTTTGCGCGATACACATCCGCGTAGATTGCTACCGGTCGGATCACGGTATCGAGCCAGATGTATCGTTAAGATATCGAGCGCGATATCAAGCGTCGAATATGTCCGCCGCGCGTGTACGTACCTGGCAACGATCCTGGCCGAAACGTTTCGCAGAGGGAAACGGCATCGATCGCGGCTACCAAAAAGGCGAGGTCGATTTTCATGCTTCCGAACACTGCGAGACAATCTCGATGCAGGCGTCCAACTATTCCAACCTTCTTTTCCAAAGTCTTTCCTCAGGTGATTAACGGCCACGGTCATTTCATCGCTCGAGCGTGTTCTCGTGATTGGAAGGACGTTCCACATTTTCTCTGACAAATTTGTTATCCGGTTGCGATGCTTTCCCGCATTTAAAAACGCGCCACTGGACACTCGACCCTGTCTTCTAGCCTAATTCGAAGACCCGATCGCTTCGATACTAGCGTAGAAATTGCGGAGGAACATAGGACGACCTAATTCG